ATTGTGTTAGAATTCGTCCTCAAAGTCTATAATGTTTGAAAACAACTTCGAGTACTGCTCCCTCATCTCCTCCTTGGGCTCCCAAGTCCACTTCGAGTCCTTGCGGTGCTACCATTGCACCTTCACTAGCTCGACCCTTTTGTTCCTCAGCTCCTTCATCTTGCGATCCAGAATCGCCATCGTTCTCTCAATGTAATTCTGGTTGTCATCAACCTGAATATCCTCTAAGGGTATAACCGTCGTGTCGTCCACTAAGCACTTCCATAACTAGGAAACATGGAAAGTGTTGTGGATCTAGCCAAGCTCTGCATGTAGATCTAGTCTGTAAGCTACATTGCAATCTCGGGCTATGACTTTAAAGGGAGTGATATACCTGGGGCCCAACTTGCCCCGTTTCCGGAATTATATGACACACTTCTAGGGTGACACCTTTAGGTGGACCATATCGCCCTCCCGAAACTCCAAGTCTGAACGTTGCTTGTCGACATAACTCTTCTGCAGATTCTGAGCAATCTAGAGCCTGCTCCGGACCTGTTGGATCCGCTCTGTGGTCTTGAGTACTACCTCTGTATTTCCATGACCCTCTCACCGACCTCATCCCAACATATTTGGGTCCTACACTTCCTCCTGTAGAGCATACCGAAGGGAGTTCGGTCTATATTGGCGTGGTAACTGTTGTTATACAAAAAATTCCACTAACGGAAGATACGTATCCAAACTACCACCAAAATCCAAAACGCATGCTTGAAGCATGTCCATGAGATTTTGAATCGTCCTCTCGCTCCGTGCGTCCATCTGGGGGTGGAAAGCGATGATGAAATACAGACGAATACCCATCTCGTCATGAAAAGAAAAGTGGGAATGGTCTTACACATTAAAAAGATGTGATGCCCAACTATTTTAATCTTAGAATATTTTCTAAGAATACACCAAGACGACATGACGACTGAATCTGACCACACCACGATGTGTCATCCTTAAACCACGTTGTGACGACATTATTTTGCTCGACACCACGACATGTCATTGCTTTCCCACGTCGTGGCAGTGGTTCAACATACTTTTCAAGAATGGTTCTTTGATTTCATTCGATCCGGCACATTTTCATTCACAAGAAGAAGCTCCAGAAGTACTATTTCCAGCAATTATACGAGAAGTCGAAGCTTTCCACACAAGTCTCAGAGTTTGATCTTGCCACTACTACCCAAGGGGAGTCTGTTCTAATTCTTCCTTTTTAATTTTTATGTTCTTTAATTGCTTTAGCATGTAGTGGGGACATTGCATAAAATAAGTGTGGGGTAGGGGTCGAAAAAGTAAATTGCTAAAAAAATTAAAATTTAAAATTTTTAAAAATTTAGAAATAGATTTGAAACAATAATCTAAATTTTGAATCCAGTATTAGTTTAAATTTAAGTTGCTAGTGTTGCGTGAGATGATTTGATGAGAGCTCAAATGTTTAAATGAGCCAGCATATGTTATAGTATATTTGTGGCTTCCTGTTCCTAGTGAAAAGCCATCAGATAAAAAGGTAATTTGATAGTTTATATGACATAATACGTTTTGTAGCCTGTACCTAAAATCTATCCAGGAGAGCTTATGTAGTCATTGCACTTAGACTAATACATTTAACCAATAAAAAAATAAATAAATAAATAAGTGAGTTATATAAAAAAAGAGAGAAATTACAAAAAAGTTGTAAGAATTTTGGAGTTACCATAGTATGAAGATCAAAAGATCAAAATTCTAAAGAAAATCAAAAATTTTGAAGATACCAAAAATCAAACAAAAAGGTGGTGAATTCAAAGAAATCAAAGATAAATTATTCAAAGAAGTGAAGAATTCCAAAGAGCTCCATTGTGGTATCAAAAGTTGTAATTTTTCTAGATTATGTATGATTTGGTAGCTTAACCAAAAATACCTTGAGGTTAAGAAAGATTTCTGAGGATTGATTCGGAGGGTTGTAGAAATAAGTGTCGTATAAGGTAAGGGGTGAAGGTGCATAAGGATTGTGAGTATCTAGGATTGGGGAAGTTTTAGGAACCTTAGACACAAATATGTGAATTGAGGTCTTGATATAATGGTTGAGTTCAAAATTGATTGTCTTATGTGATAATGGTGATGAAAGTTAGACACAAAAAAAATTAGTTTTGCTTAAGGGCAAGCAAAAGATAAGTGTTGGGTATTTTGATATGTGCATATCTACATATATATTTTACATCATATCTTAAGATTATTAGCTATATTTATGCTTATTATAAAAACAAAAGGTACTTATTATGTTTAATATCTATTATGTAGCATAAAAGACATGCTCGAAAGTAATATGGAAACTGCAAATAGGAAAATGTAAGCTTAGGAAAAAAGAAGACACGAGAAGGATGTTGCTGGACAGCTTGAGCCCTCAACAGTATTTTGACCATATCTCATGACTCGTAACTCCGATTAAGGTGATTCAATATGATCTAAAAACTAGACACAATTTTGAATGAATTTTGTGTTTTGAGAAAAGTCGTATTTTCAACTACCACGACGTAGTGAATGGAATCTTTGTGATTCCTAATGTTGGCTTGGGGAATACGATATACACACGATGACCACAATGTGGTGCATTTACCACGTCGTGGTGGCCTAATTTTAGGGAAGTATATATATCTGAACATTATGATGAATTGAGGGACTTGGAGGTCGCTTTCTGGAGAAGTATTACAACAAAAACCTTTCTAAGAACCCTTTGGGTCGATTTTGAAGCTAGGAAGTCAATTAGAGCAACGATTCCCATCTACACATTTGGTTTGCTTAGTTTAATGATGTTTAGCTTAGTTTACCTTATGTTTATGTGTTCATCAGCTGTGATTATGGGCTAAAAACCCTTGCTTTCGTTTAGTTGAATGAAACCTAAAACTATGAGTTGGTTTCTTACTTTATGGATTATATGAATTCGGTTTATGCATGTGTTTGATTATCATTACCTATCATGTTAAAGTTTGTGACTTTGTTGCTTAAATTCAATTTTAGTGTAGCTTAGTGACCATTAAATTAAACGAACTTGTTTACCTAGTTATTTAGTGATCATTAAATTGCTAGAGCTAGGATCGAACAAATCATAGTTAGGTGACAAAAGTAACAATTTAACTGTGTTAGAGAACCTAATTGTGACCATAATTGTGTTTAACAAATCTTACATAGCCCAATGACAATTAATAACTAATTGTGTTTGCTTGTGTATGACCTTACAAAGTAGTACATGAATTGGCTAAAATATTAGTAGATTTTACCAAATTTCTAACATATAAATTGGTAACCAACTTTATTAATCTATAAATAAGAACTAACCATAGGTAAAAGGTGGATTTAAAACTAAACGAAAGTATTTTAGTATATTGATTATAATCATTTTTATTTGAGTGCTTAAGTTTTTTTTAACTTGTAAAATCAGATAAAACCCCCACTTTTAGTTGTTTTTCTTAGTTTAGCTTTTAGTAATTATTTTATTAATTAAATACCGTTCCCTGTGATCCACACCCGACTTACCCAAACTATACTATAATCTGACTAGATACACTGCCCATAGGTGCATAGTTGGTATAATTTTGTTAGGTTATAAATTTAAAAGTTGATAGGTATATTTTTTGCACTTCAAGTTTTTTGCGCTATTGCCGGGGAACGACAATTTTAGTTGTTAATTTAATTGCTTTAGGTTAATCGATCCGTTTTGTGGGGTAAAAATCACAAAAAGTTATTTTTCTGCATTTTTTTTCTTTTTGATTTGTCACCACATCGTGGGCATCTTAGCTACGTCGTGGTTACGTTGTCCTCAATTTTTAGTTTAGTTATTTTTTTGTTGCTTTTTATGTGTGTGTTTTCTAGTTTTTTTTAGCAGGAAAAATGGGGGACATCACGACTATGACAATGGAAGAGTACAAGCGGCATATGAGGAACGAAAACAGATGGGGTCTTGATCCACCAAAAATTTCAGCCACGATAAAGTTTGAACTTGCGGGGCACATTTTCAATATGTTAAGGGAACTACCTTTTTATGGTAAGGATCATGAGGACGCTTATGAGCATATACAAGAGGTGGTGGAGATTTCACACTATTTTAATGCCCCAAACATGGGTAAAGATGCAGTGATGCTTCGACTTTTACCGGTCACATTGAAGGGTGAAGCAAAAGAATAGTTAAAATCACTTCCCTTTGAAGCAATCACGACATGGGCTGATTTTAAGACCGAGTTCATCAACCAGTTTACCCTCCTTCAAAAGTGACAAAGCTTAACAGAAATATACAAAATTTTCAACAATTAGAAGGGGAGTCACTATATGAAGCTTGGGAGTGTTACAAGAGATTGTTACAACATTGCCCTCAACATGACTTCAATGTGCAACAAGAAATCTTGATATTTTATGATGGAGTCAATGTGTGTACTCACCAACTACTAGACTCTCAAGGGCCCATGACAAAGAAGGATCCAAAAACAAATAAAGCTTTAATTGAAGAATTCGCCAAGCATTCAAGGGAGTATCACAACCCAACGGGGGAGGATATCACGAGAAGAAAAGCGAATATAGATGGAGTTTCTGAAGTATTAATGATTGTAATGGCAAAACTTGACGCCATGGAAAATAGACTCACAAAGATGGATGGATCAATTAATGTGGCACACGATATATGTGAATCTTGTGGAGGACCTCACTCTCGAAGAGATTGTGAATTGGAATACAAGAGAGCTCAAAACACGACAAAAGATCAACAACTAGAGCATAATCTCTACTAACTAGAACGAGTCCAATCCGAGAAGATCGATGCTCTCGATTCTATGCTATTCAGATTCATGGAAGCTAGCGAAAAAAGACATGATACAACTGATGAAACACTTAGAGTTCAACAAGACTCTATTTTGAGCATCCACACACAAGTTGGTAAATTAACAAAACTATGACAAGGAAATCTATCTGATCAATATTCAAGGAAAGTTGAGTCAATCCCTATGGATCAAGTCATGGTCATTGATACAGAAGAAGAATATGAATTGGAGCATATGAAGGACCTTGAAGAGGAGTCTAATCAGTCACTCAAAGTATAAAAGGAAAGAAGAAGAAGATTATCATGAAGCTTCCCAGTCGCCACGACGTGGAGACAATAGTGCCAGGTCGTGGGCGATAAAAGAAAATTATGATTTCTCAATTGTTGAGCCGTATCGACCACTTCTTCCTTTCCCATCTCGTGCCAATGAAAATTTGGTGAAACAAGAAAACACGAAGTTCCTTAAGCATGATGAATTTGAATGCATGAAGGAAGAAGAGTGGGAGGAATGGGAGGAGCCTTTACTAAAAGAGCAATTGGAAAAAGAAGTGAATTATTCAAAACCTCCAGTGTCAACGCCAATGATGTTTGAGGTGTTTGATTTTACAAGACCACCAAATCTAGTAATAGAGGTGATTGAAGAACAAGACGTAGAGAGTGATGAGTCTCATTTTGACAAGAAAAACCCGAAAAGAAACAAGACAAAATCTAAATACACGAGAATGAGGAAAGAACCCAAGCAGAAACATAAAGAAGATGTCAACTCAACAATGCAAGAAAGTTCAATAAAGGAATTCAATAGAAGAGTTGCTTACAAATAAGTAAGGTTCAAGATAATCGAGAACGGGGAGGTTACACTTCCACCCAATGCAACGTAGAGTGGAAAGAGTCCCAGCTCACGACTCCTAAAAAAGAAGCGCTTGTCAGGAGGCAACCCGATTTTTATGAGTTTGCATTTTCGTTTCCTTTTAATTTGTTTTAGTTTTTAATTTTTAACTTTTAGTTTTTTTAGTTTAACCGAATGAAATGATGTGTTTCTCTAGTTCTTGATCTTATTTTGTAGTATTGACCGAAAGTGCAGCAGTGAAGGAGCTTAATTTGAAGAAGTCGTGCGATTTTTGAAAATCATAATTGAGGAACAAGGTTTTGAATAAGTGTGGGGTTCCCACATAATAAAGAGAAAATCATTTTGAAGCATATTTACTGAAAAGAAGAGTGGGAATGGTCTTACACATTACAAAGACGTCATGCCCACCTGTTTCAATCTTAGAAGATTTTTTAAGAAGACACTACGCCGTGGACATCATCAACACGTCGTGGCAAAAATTTTAATCGCTGCTGAATCTGACTACACCAAGACGTGGCATCCTTAAACCACGTTGTGACAACATTATTTTGCTCGACACCACAACGTGTCATTACTTTCCCATGTCGTGGAAGTTGTTCTACATATTTTTCAAGAATGGTTCTTTGATTTCATTCGATCCAGAACATTTGCATTCACAAGAAGAAGCTCCAGAAGTACTGTTCCAGTAATTATACGAGAAGTCTAAGCTTTCCACACAAATCTCAGAGATCGATCTTGCCACTACTACCTAAGGGGAGTCTGTTCTAATTCTTCTTTTTTAATTTTTATGTTCTTTAATTGCTTTTGCATGCAATGGGGACATTGCATAAAATAAGTGTGGCGTAGGGGGTCGAAAAAGTAAATTGCAAGAAAATTTTAAGTAAATTGCTAAAAAAAAAAATTAAAATTTAAAATTTTTAAAAATTTAGAAATAGATTTGAAACAATAATCTAAAAATTGAATCTAGTATTAGTTTAAATTTAAGTTGTTAGTGTTGCGTGGGATGATTCGATGAGAGCTCAAATATTTAATTGAGCCAACATTTGTTATTGTATATTTGTGGCTTCCCATTCCTAGTGAAAAGTCATGAGATATGAAAGATAATCTGATAGTTTATATGACATAATACGTTTTGTAGCCTGTACCTGAAATCTATCCAGGAGAGCTTATGTAGTAATTGCACTTAGACTAATAACTCTAACCAATCAATGTTGAAGTTAAGCTCCCTTGCTTAAGCATGTAGGAATTGAGCAAATAAATAAATAAGTGAGTTATATAAAAAAAGAGAAATCACAATAAAGTTGTAAGAATTTTGGAGCTACTATAGTATGAAGATCAAAAGATCAAAATTTAAAATAAAAAAGTTGAAGATAGCAAAAATCAAACAAAAAGGTGGTGAATTCAAAAAAATCAAAGATCGATTATTCAAAGAAGTGAAGAATTCCAAAGAGATCCATTGTGGTATCAAAAGTTGTAATTTTTCTAGATTATATATGCTTTTGTAGCTTAACCAAAAATACCTTGAGGTTAAGAAATATTTTTGAGGATTGATTTGGAGAGTTGCAGAAATAAGTGTCGTATAAGCTAAGGGGTGAAGGTTCATAAGGATTGTGAGTAGCTAGGATTGGAGAAGTTTTTAGGAACCTTAGACACAAATATGCGCATTGAGGTATTGGTATAATGGATGGGTTCAAAATGGACTGTCTTATGTGATATCGGTGATGAAAGTTAGACACAAAAAAATTAGTTTTGCTTGGGGTAAGCAAAAGATAAGTGTGGGGTATTTTGAAATGTGCATATTTACATATATATTTTACATCATATCTTAATATTATTAGCTATATTTTTGCTTATTATAGAACAAAAGGTACTTATTATGTTTAATATTATGTAGCATAAAAGACATGCTCGAAAGTAATATGGAAGATGGAAGCAAGAAAATGTGAGCTTTGGCAAAAAGAAGACACAAGAAGGATGTTATTGGATAGCTTGAGCCCTCGACAGTATTTTGACCATATCTCATCACTCGTAACTCTGATTAAGGTGATTCAAAATGATCTGAAAAATGGACACAATTTTGAATGAGTTTTGTGTTTTGAGAAAAAGTCATATTTTCAACCACCACGACGTGGTGAATGGAATCTCTGTTATTCCTAATGTTGGTTTGGGGAATACGAGATAAACATGATGAACACGATGTGGTGCATTTACCATGTCGTGGTGGCCTGATTTTAGTCAAGTATATATTTCTGAACATTATGACGAATTGAGGGACTTGGAGGTGACTTTCTGGAGAAGTATTGCGACAAAAACCCATCTAATAACCCTTTGGGGTCGATTTTGAAGCTATGAAGTCGATTAGAGCAAGGATTCCCATCTACACATTCGGTTTGCTTAGTTTAATGATGTTTTGCTTAGTTTAACTTATGTTTATGTGTTCATCAGCTATGATTATGGGCTAAAAACCCTTGCTTTAGTTCAGTTAGATGAAACCTAAAACTATGAGTTAGTTTTTTACTTTGTGGATTATATGTATTTGGTTTATGCATGTGTTTGATTATCATTACCTAGCATGTTAAAGTTTGTGACTTTTTTGCTTAAATTCAAGTTTAGTGTAGCTTAGTGACCATTAAATTACACGAACTTGTTTACCTAGTTATTTAGTGACCATTAAATTGCTAGAGCTAGGATTGACCAAATCTTAGTTAAGTGACAAAAGTAACAATTTAACTGTGTTAGAGAACATAATTGTGACCATAATTGTCTTTAACAAACCTTACATAGCCCAGTTATTATTAATAACTAATTTTGTGTTTGCTTGTGTAGAACCTTACAAAGTAGTACATGGATTGGCTAAAATATTAATAAATTTTACCAAATTTCTATTTACATATAAATTGGTAACCAACTTTATTAATCCATAAATAAGAACTATCCACAGGAAAAAGGTGGATTCAAAACTAAACGGAAGTGCTTTAGTATATTGATTATAATCGTTTTTATTTGAGTGCTTATGTTTTTCTAAACTTGTAAAATCTGATAAAACCCTGACTTTTAGTTGTTTTTCTTAGTTTAGCTTTTAGTAATTATTTTATTAATTAAATATTGTTCCTTGTGATCGACGCCCGACTTCCCCAAGTGTGATATCCCCAAAATCTCGGCCAGAAAAGACCGATTTTCATTTATGCTTTTAAAATAATTTCAGAGTAAATCATTTTGATTTGAAGGAGTTGCGGAATTTGTTCCCAAAAACAAAACGTGATAAAACAATATTTATCAAATCATTTCATCAAGAGAAATGTATTTTCATTATATAATCAAAACTCGGGATGTCATGTTCCGATACAAACCATAAAGCATAAACGATAACATTACAAGTCATTCAACAAATATATACATATACAGACTTGTAAACAAAACAACTTGATGGTTCATCCATCTTATGCCCTTGCGCCACTTCCTGTAATACAAATAAAACTGAGTGGGTCAGGCTTGGGAGCCTGGTGAGCATATAGGATTTTCAACCCACAATAAATAATTATATTTAATTTCCACCAAGCAACAATAACCCGATTACCCATTCCCGTTATTCTCACCTTACGTCCCTAAGACAACTAACATAAGGGACCTAGTCTAAGAATATTTCATCGGGGCGACAACACATGCTTCAAGGGTTCCTTAGCAATATAAGTCAAATAAGGCAACCATGAGGGGATGGAATACAGCAAATGAACACCCAAGTTCACAAAAGTCCGTGGTCGTCATCTAAATTCCGCTAGATGACTGGATCAAAACAACATCGAGGCCTCTTATCTGTTTATTACACACCAACTATCTACCCATGTTCTACCCAACATATTAATAGATAAAACATACATTTTTATACATAGTTTCAAAACCTGTATATCATGCTCAATCAATACATTTTCCACATAACAGATGAGGCTCACACACATAACACGTATTTCATAGAGAAATAATCAGATCTATAAGATAGAAGAAAGTGAACATACATTCACACACACAACAACAAAATATACACATAACACGTATTTCATATAAAATACTACATAATTATGCGTTAGAAGAAAGTAACTACACACTCACTTGATCAGAAGATGATCGGACAGCACTATGGCTTGTAGAAGTAGTATTCTTCGGTAGATCTAGAAGATCTTCACAAAAACCGGACTCCTCACGGGCAGAGCTTCGGCTCAGGAATCTTACTTCTTGGGATCTTCAGGACCTCGGGACTTGCTTCGGGGCTCGGGAATGATACCAGGGCTTCGGGATAATTCTTGCACGAAAAACGATGCAAAAACGCGAGAAAAAGAGAAGAAATGAGCAAACTACTCGGTTGCCCTCGACACCCTTTTATAGGGTCTGGAAGGTCGATTTACGCTGGGCGTAAATCCTAGTTACGTTGGGCGTAACGATGATAAGATCGCTGACTCCCCCCCTTCGGATAATATCGAAATTTATATATAAATAAAATATCGAAAATATTTAATAAACTTCAAAAATTCATATCTTCCTCATATGAACACCGTTTTCGACGTTCATTATATCCCCGCGTAGGTGAGACTACGATCTACAAGTTTCGTTTAGACTCCGTCGACTAATTTTGACTTTATTTTTATTATTTATTTTTAGTAGGTCGGGACAGGAAAACTCCGTTATAAAATCATAACTTCTTCATCCGACGTCCATTTTCGCCTATCTTTTTATCGTTTTACTACAATTAATGAGATCTTCGATTCTCATTTAGATTGTTTCGGCTAAAAACCGCTCGTTCTCAAATCGAGTATTCGAGCTGCATACCGCTAAGTCGAAACTTCGAAAAATCATAACTTCCTCATACGAAGTTAGATTTTGGCGTTCTTTTTATGCACGATCTCGGTTTAACAAACTCTACGACTTTAGTTTAGATCACTAAGGCTAAATATTGCTCTAACGTAAATTTCACTTTTTACG